GACAAATATGTAGTAATAATAAATAATACAAAGACATTAAAATGAAATAAATGGTAAAAAATTAAAATTATATTAAACAAGCCTTTGAAATTTATTTTATGAATTTGAGAACCGCAATACAAAAATTTGCAGAATGTATTAAAATAAATATTTTTTGAAATGTATTGAAAGAGAATTTTGAATGTTTAATTTTTTCATTAGAAAAATACGATTTTTTACAAATAAAAAGTAAAATAAAAACTTATAACATTTCAAAATCGGAAATAATGATTCACTGAGAATAGTATAGTGATACTCACGGAAAAAAGAAAAATAAAGTTGTAGTACCCAGTAAAATACCCCAAGCGACAGCAGCTGGTAAATATCTTGTTTTGACATTACATTTCGGCATTCTGATAATGACAAGCCACTAAAAAGTAATCAAAACTCGGAATCTGTTAAGAAATCAACATGGCCGAATTTTTAAAAAGCAACACTGAACTTGAAATATTCCGGTCACAAAAAAACAATATATCCCATTTCGAAGTGCAAAAATTAATACAACTGCAAAACATTTTTAAAAAAACCAATAAGAAATCTTTTCACTTAAATATATTTTTTATCACTTTTAATAACATGACACCCTGTTTTTATAAATAAATAATCTTTAAACGAACTCATGAGAGTACAAAATTGTACAAGATTTTCTTAATCTACAAAACTAGGGCCCTGAAAATTGTTATGTTGGTACGCTGTAATAAACTTGTACATTTTGGCAATTAATTGAATATTTTCATGTTTAAATAAAAAAGAAACAAATTTTATTTTATGTTTTGGCAATCTTTTTTTTTTTAAAATAATTTTATTAGAATGCCTTTCCTTCATTGTTCGAAAAAAATTATCACTAGATCTCAGTTAATTGAAGAAAAATCTAGCCGAAACGGTTGGAGATGTAAAATATTTCGTCCCACGGGGGGGTATTATAAAGGAAATTGGAAACGAAATAAACATTGCGGAAAAGGTGTACAATTTTTACCATCTGGTTTTCAGTATGAAGGAGACTGGATAAATAACAATAAACATGGTTTTGGCGTTTTAAGTAAATACAATAGTTACGATAAAATATTTAACCTTGTTTATATCGGGGATTATCAGAAAAACCAAAAGCATGTAAGTTGCGATTAAATTTTTGTCTAACTTAAATGTAAACTTTTTAAAATACAAGATTTAGGGACGTGGTATTCATCACTATGATGACGGTACTTTATATGAGGGAGAATTTAAATATAATAAAAGACACGGGTTCGGAAAGTGCTGGTATGGCGATGGTTCCTATTATGAGGGTTATTGGCGTAGAGATTTACAAGATGATTATGGATTTTTTGTAGAGGGTACATTCAAAATTTTACTGATTGTATAGATTTTGCTAGCAAATTTTTATAAAATAATATTATAATAGTTAATGGGAACCGTTATGAGGGAGAATGGTCTCAGGGTAAAAAAGATGGCTATGGTGAATATTATCATTTGTCTACTGGACAAAAGCAAACAGGTTATTGGGAAAACAATATATGTATTACTAGTTTGATGGAAGACATTAAATACCGCCAGTCAGTCATTTACCCTACTCCTTATTTCATTCCAAAATGTGAATTATACTCAAAAGTTCCAGTTTTATTATCACTTCAAAGAGCATATGAAATTATAGAAGATCATCATAAAAATTGTATTTATCACACAACATGCCATAAAGATAAATTGGAGTGTATTAGGTAAATATTCCACCTATAAAAAAATACAATTTTTTTAAATTTTACTCTTTCAAAAACAACCAAACCACTTATAAAAAAACATTTAATTATTATTTATTTAATATTTTTTTGTTTAGGCCTACCTTATTCGTTACTCCTCCTCCAAGTGAAACATGCGATTAATTTTTAAAATTATCAATACAAACAAAAAACAAAAACTAAGAAAAATCAAAACTTTCCTTTTAAAATATTTAATTAAATTCACTATTTAACAAAATTATAAGTAAAACAAAAATTTTATTTATTAAACAATAAATTAATTGATGATTTGAAAAATAATTTTTTATATTTTTTTTCTTCTTAAAAAAAAAAACAAATTAATTTTAAACAATAAATTAGTAATGATAATAATAATAATAATAATCTAAATAA